TTTTTTTTTTTTAGCTACTCTCCTGACACCAGCTGATCCTTGGCCCTTTCAGAAACTGACACTAAGATACGGATTTGCTGGTGTTGGGGCTGCTCAAAAGAATGTTCTAGTGGTTCTGAAGGCATCTCTAAGGCAAGTTCCAGAAACCTTTGGAGCAGAGTAACCGTGTCTTTGAAATAAGCACAGCTTTCTAAGGGATCCCTTGCAGGATATTTGATTGTCCTCATGTGCTGTGCTCAGACATGCCGTGCATTTATCTCTGCAAGGGAAACCCGCCATCATCAGATGCAGTGAAATACCGGGCCGTTCTGTCTCCATCTGAGTCAACAGATGTGTCTTCTTAAAGTCCCTCCTGCTGGGATTGCCTGTCACCATCCGTTCCTGGTGGCTTTAAGCCACTCCTCTTGAATAAAGTTCAGCTGTTCATCCCCAGGACAGCTTTTTTCTTCCCATTAACGCAACACAGAGAGCAGACACTTTGAAAATGTGTGCCCGTTTTCACTTCCTTTCTGGGTGCAAGCAGCCTTCCCAGCCAGGCGGGGGGCTCCAGGACTCAAGGCTGCATTGTCAGGGTTTGGGACATCCCCATAATCCCCCTGGTCCCAGCTCTCGCACACTGGGATGATGTAATGATCTGGGGGTGAGGGGACTAAGATCTGGAGGGGTCTTTTTGTATATGACTATATAGCAGCAGGAGGCATTCTTATAAATTGTGAGCTGGAAGAGACTATTTTTTTTTAATTATGTATTTTCTCTGATTTTTAAAAAGTACGTGCTTTAAGTCTGTGGAAAATATATTAAGAGTAGCATACCTTACATAGCCTCCTTTCTTTTTTTCTTTTTTTATTAAAAGAATTTTTTTTTTTAACATTTATTCACCTTTGAGGGACAGAGCACAAGCCGGGGAGAGAGAGGGAGGGAGACACAGAATCTGAAGCAGGCTCCGGGTTCTGAGCTGTCAGCACAGGACCCGACATGGGGCTCGAACCCACTAACTGCAATATCATGACCTGAGCCAAAGTCGGACACTTAACTGACTGAACCACCCAGGCGCCCCTCTTTTTTTTTTATTTTTACCCAAATCCCCTCTACCTGTAAGAAATTTACTGCCACGTTTCCTTCCTTTCCAGACAAAGGAAAGGAAGTTTTCTCCTTTTCCTCCCTGTTACAAAGTGCTGGGCCAGTTTCTGTCTCAGCCCTGGGAGCCGTTTGCAGCCAGGCACAGGCTCTGTGTCCTGTGTCTTGAGGATGAGGCTCCATGTTTCTGTGTCTTCTCATGACTGTGTTTCTTCTCATGACAGGTTGCCAGTTTTCCATAAAATGTAGGCTGGGGAGTAGGTAAACTCACAGAGCCAATGCAGGAATGTTTATTATGCTCAGGCAAGTTGAATAACTTTCAGCATGTCCGTCCATCCGTCCCAAAGCCGATTTCATGTCTGCGGTCTTCAGGGCATCGTGCCAGGGAGCCGGCGCGGGCTTTGTTCTCTTTATGTGCGTGTTCTTTCCAGATGAGAAGCATAACTCGACAGGGGTCCTTTAAGCTGGACCAGTTGAGCAGCGGGCTCTGGGGCTCTGGCCTCTTTCCAGCCCCCACACTGGCTTTCCGGTTTCCCTTGTCCAGTGTGGCCTACAGCTTCCCCATCCACGCAAGGAGCTGTGGGATTCTTCAGGACCTGGGGGGCGGGGAGCCAGGGACACTAGCCTTCCCTCCATAACGACCATGCTCTGTTGATTTTCAGGTGCACTTGTGGTTTTCCCTGTTAACGTCTCTGAAGTCAGGTGATTTTTAGAGCCAGGCATCTTCTAGTTGCTTCTGCTGGAGTGAAAGTCAGGTTCCTACTGAGAGGGTTGGTGTTGGCTTGTGTCAGCCACTAGGAACACGTATCCTATGCCTGTCGTTCACAGTTGGGGAGATTGCTCCCCTGTCTCTACCCAGTGCCAGGACCGAGATAGGCACGTCTCTGTGTTCCCCTTTTGTGCAGTGGATTTACTTTTGTTTCCTGTACTGTGTGGACTAGTGCCTTTATTTTACCCTTCTCCCTGGGCCTTTTTTCCCTTAGGGGTACATCAAAGAATGATATCACTTGCCACGTAGAGCTGGGGTCAGCAGACTTTTTCTGCAAAAGCCTAGATAGTAAATATTTCCAACTCTGTCATAATTATCTAATGCTGCCCTTGCGGCATGAAAGCAGCTGTAGACAATATGTCAGCACCTGGGCCTGGCTGTGTTCCAATAAAACTTTATTTACAAACGGCAGGTGACAGGCTAGCTTTGGCTTTCAGTCTCTGGTTTGCCGATCTGTCATCTAGAGCCTCTCTAGTGTAATGGATGCCGTATTTCCTTGAGCCTGCCATGTGCCCAGCCCTGTGCCTGGTAACTGATCCAGTAGGTGACTAGATAGTCAGCCAAGTATCCTGCCCTCATGTGTTTCTATTCTAGTGGGAGAACCCCCACATGCGGAAAGAAAGAATAAAAAGATGCATCGTGGCATAGATGAAGGGCTCCAGAGGAAACAGTGGGTCCTGGGACACCGCTGGGTGAGGGAGCCAGAGCTGGCCTCTCTGTGGAGCTGATACTTGTATGGGATCTAGAAGATCTGGGCCCCCGTCTGCAGCACTGTGACGTGCCCCCCTCCCCAGAGACACACATGAAGAGTAAGCAAATAAAGCTGAAGAAAGTGTGGTCCGTGCTCATAACTGCTGAGTTACTGCAATATTTGGGGATTAAACCTGTCATTTACTCTGTTTTGAACCTGTTCTTCTTGTCTATACATCAAGGGCCGAAAGCACCCATATTCCCCTCATTGCCTTCCCGCCCCCATGGGGCGCTGGTAGTGGTTCGTTACTCAGACTGTGTGTCTCAGGACTGTTCCAGACACTGGGAGTGAGTGGATGGGGTCCCAAATCCAGAGTGGTCCTGTGATCGAAGTGTCAGGGCCCAGCCAGGTCCGTCTTTAGAGGAAGTGGGTATCTTAAAGCTCCCCAAGGAACTGGCATCGGAGGACACGTGACCCACTCTGACCTGTCTCAGCTTCCCAGTGTCCTGGGCCAGGGAGTGTCTGGAAGTTGCCCACACCCCCTCTGGCCGCTGTTCAGGCCACACACAGGTGGTACTTGAGCAGAGCCCCCCCCCCCCCCCCCCCCCCCCCCGCCACTGTCATTGCTGAATAGTCCCCTGGCCTGAGCCCCCAGGTCAGAGTTAGCCCAGGAGGAGAAACAATCTCCTTGGAAAACGGTCCACGTTTTTTATTGGTGTCCCTTCCACAAGAAACTGTTGGGTGATGTGGTCTGTCCGGTCCAGTGAGTGCTGGGTGTGCCTTTCTGAGTGCCCAGCTTCTTCCCTTCCTGGCAGAGTTAAGCACCGTGGTGTTTCCTTGTGGCTCCTGCAGGCTTCCCAGCCTCCCTGAACTTGGCTGTGTCTACCTGCTCTGTGTGGCCCCCCTCCCCAGGCTTGCTCTGCTACCCTTGGGGACCCTCGGGGTGGGTGGGAGGCACCCTGAGCTTGGTGGGGTTGGGCCAGGCCGGGCTATAGGGCAAAAAGGTGGGCAGTGCCCGCAGAAGGCCAGAACACCTGTTGCAGCTGCTCGAGGCCCACTCTGTCCTCCGGCCCACAGGGCTTGCCACCCCTGAAGGCCCCCTCTTCTTGGCTCTCGGAGCCCAGGAGTAGAGATTGGTGGGGCTGCTTGGCACAAGTCCTGCAGGGTGTTTATTTTCCCCAGGCTCCTCCCCAGGACCGTCTCTCGTGCCCCCCGTCTGGACTGGCTCTGGTCGGAGCGGCGGGAGGACTGTCGGGCACACCGGGGCGGCAAGGGGCCTGTGTGCCCCACTAGCGGGAAGGATGCCAGGTACCTCTCAGCGCCTGCCTGCTTGGCCTCCGCCCGAATCACTTCCTCATGCATGATTGTTGCGGCGCCGTAATCCTGGAGCTGGTGGGGGTCGTTGGCAATCAGAGCGGGTGCCCCGCTGTGGCCTGGCCCCTGCACGCCATGGTGCTTCCACCAAGGCCCTTCCTGTCCTGCGCTTAGGGACCCAGGTCCCAGGGATGAGCAGTATGTCCTGAGGACGGGAGCCACAATGGCCCACTCTGGAAAGACTGAAGCAGAGGCTGCTGGGGCCACATAGCCCAGGACATCCCCATGCCATTCTTGGTGGGGGGCACGGGGCGGTGGAGCTCGTGGTTTTGTGATTCTTGCATTTGTGTGCCCATGCTTCCAAGTGCTCGAGAGAACGTGTGACCGACCGACCGACCGCACTCCAGGGGGTGGACAGACAAACCAGCTGCTTGTTGCTCTCATTATTCTTGGGATCAGCCTGCCCCTCTGGGTGCCCCAATGGGACTGAGGGTGTGATGGGCCATGGCCACGGGTCAGGGAAGTATGGGGTGGGAGGAGGTGAAGCGCATTTCGGGCGGGCTGTGCCGGCTTCCAAAGCCAAACAGATTACTCTGTATGCTTTCTTGGATGGATCCTGTAGCAGCCCGTGTTCTGATTTCCTATTTTTTCCCCCTAAATAGTTGGGGTACAGCAGAACCCTTTATATGTGAAACTCTCACGTGCCAAGTAGCAGCTTGGGCATTTCTCACGTGCTACCCTGAAAAGGAGTTCTCTGAGCAGATACCGGGAGGGGCTGGGAATACTGGATTCAATGGCATTTACTGGTCCTCCGACCTTGATTTTACTTGCCATTGACTTTGGGCCTTTGATATTCTGGTACACTGCATTTCCCGCTCACTCGGCCACCACTCCATCCCCTTTCTAGTGCCGTGTCCGTAAGACACATTAGACACACTTTGGGAATGGGGCCTTGGATGTGGGGGAAAACCAGATCTAAGATACCATAAGGTCGTAGCAGAGGTAGGCTCATTAAGGTCATTATTTTTGTATGGGAGGAAGGCTTGAAGCGGGAGCCCTGATCAGGCGTGTTTCCGTCCACGGGGCAGTGTCTTCTTGTCGTGGGGGCGCCCGGCTCACTGGGGCCCCGGGTTGGCTGCTGTTGGACGCTGAACCCTACGGCCACCGTGGCCGTGGCTGGGGTGGTGCTGCCCCCTGGTGTCAGGTGGTGGAGTCACCATCACTGCTTTAAGCTCACTCCGGCTCCTTCTTGTCTTTGCTTTTCAGACCGCGAGTCCATCTTCTTCAACAGCCACAACGTGTCAAAGCCGGAGTCTTCATCGGTCCTGACCGCGGTATGTTCCTTCTGCCGTGTTGGCCGTGTTCCCTCCCGAGCCTGGGTGTGCACAGCGTGCTGTCGGTGGTGAGGCCCAGGCCTGAGCTCCAGCAGAGCAGGGTGGAAGGACCTTCGTCTCCCTGCCAGGGGCCGGAGACCCCTTTGCTTTGCTTGCTTCATTCGGGCTTTCGTGCCCACACCCGTTTACCACTAGTTTCCTCCCAGTGGAAGCTTTTCTAACTCTTCTCCCAGAATGAGGACTCCCTCCCCTGACACATCCCCGCCCCATGTCACGGATATTGTGGAGACCTGCTGCCTTTTTCCTGATTTAAGAAAAGGGGTGGGAGGCGACACCATCTCGGCTTCCTTTTTCTTTCCTTGTCCACGTGAATCCAGTAAGCGTTGTCAAGGGCCTGCTGCTACTTCTGTGGGGGCAGGAGGCTCGCTCGGGGCGACCGTTCCGTGAACGTCACCGTGTGTCAGGAGCCATCCTAGATGCCGCAGGGCATCACAGCCAGGCCTGGACACAGCCTTGCGGGAGCAGGGCGGACAGCTCCATTTTCCTGAGCGGGGAGGCTAATGTTCGGCGAGGTTGAGGA